TTTTCAACTACAACATCACAACCTATTTTCAGAAATAAATGACTGAATGTTTCATTAAATATGGAATACTTCACATTTCCTTAAATATTTTTGGTATGTTTTCCTTCATAAATATTAAAAAAAAGAACATGATGATTAATAATAGTGATTATCATGTTGTTTTTAACATTTTAAAAAGAGTAAGTTATTACATAAAAATATAAACAATTCGCAATAACTGACCTTTCAAAATATATGAAGAAGATAGATGAAATAATGTATTCTTGATCAAGAAGAAAATAAATGAAGAAGATGAATGAAATAAGGGTTTGTTTAACAATAAATTTGTTTTTTATGTTAACTAGGGTTTTTAAGGATTTTATATTCATTTTTTTATTAACTTAATTCGTATTTTACAATATAATATTCATATATTCAATGATTATAATATACAAATTAAACAATCAAATCACAACATTAATTGTTTTGAAAAACAATCATGAAGGAGTATTAAATGCTCCAAAAAGGTCAAATTAAGGGTAATTTAGGCATTTCACAACAAGAAAGTGATATTTTTGTACAAATTGTGTGCACATCAAAATTTTTTGTGCATTTTAAAAAAAAGTGACATTTTTGTAAATTCCCCTATTTGAAATTGCTTTAGTGAGTGGTTGTTTGATGTGGTGGTGTAGGTGGTTGTTTGATCAAATATCGTAGGTGTTTGTTTCGTCATATCTGTTATTTAGCCAGGGATATTGGAATGGTTGTTAGTATTTTGCAAATGTTGTTGGAGATTTCCTAATCGGTGGGTTGTTCTATTGTTTTTGTTATTGGTTATGTTGGTAGTGTTATAGGCGGCGATAGTTTTGTTGTTGGTGGTGCATGTGGTCGTGGTGAGGTGGCACGTGTTTGGTTTTCAACATTGTTGGGAGAGGTAGTGGTGACAACAACCTGGTGTGATCAAGTCTATCTTCATTATAACTGTCCATAACCAAAATTTTGTTAATTGTTACTATGTATGACTTGGTTACATACAGTCACAAATTAGACTGACATGATCACAAATTGTTGTACTAAAGAAAAATTTAATCATAGTTAGCCACGGATAACACAAGTCTGTGAAGGTAGTATTTATGATCATGGGTTTGAGTTGAAGGTGGTAAAGGCGGTGCATTGGAGGTGATGGTGGTGGTGACTATGGTACTTGTCCATGGTGTGTACACATTTGTTTTTATGGTGACCATATGTGACTAAGTATATGTTTAATGTGATTGGTCGTGACCAATTCTACGTTAATTGTGAGCAGTTGTGAATTAGTCACATATCGTCACAGTTAATATTGATCTGGTCAAAGTTAGTCACACTGAATATAAACTTGGCCACAATTAATCACAGATAACACAGGTCGGTGACTTTGAAAATTTTCTAAAGATGGTGTGAATGGGGATGGGATAGCATAAAGGGGATTAGTGGTGTGGTTCTAGGATCAGGTTAAATGACTTCGATATTCACAGACAGTCACAATGAAGGCAAATTAGGTCACAGTTAATCACATATAACACGTCTGGTCACAAAAAATAATCTAGCCACAAATAACACAATTAGTTACATATCTAAGGGGCTTCCATGGGGTGAGGATAATCTCCCAAAAAAACTTTTTAAATTTTTTGATTTTTTTTTTCAGGTGTGGGGCTGGTTATAGGGTGAGGAAGTAATCTTGAAAAAAGTTTTTAATTTTTGAAAAAAAAAAATTACAGGTGGGTGGGATAGATTCAATGGGATGGGGTGGAGTGGGGTGGGGTGGAGTGGAGTGGGGTGGGAATACTATTAATTGGGTTGAGATAAATAATACCAATTATTTATTTATTATTAATTTGAATTAATACCTGAATTTTGAAATAATTTAACAAATTTTTTTAATTTTGAAGTGCAATTCTATATAAGAGTTATGTATTGTTCTCTTATTTAAGACTTTTCAAGTTGTTGAGTACTACTGAACTCTATTTATTTCAGACTGAAAAAACTCAAAATTGGGAAGATTCAGACCAATCCTTAGAAGTTAGAAATTGGGGTTCGACTTTTTGTGTTTATCATACTTCTACGTGAGCAAGAATTATATCAAAACTAGGCTTTTCTGATATGGAATCGCACTTCGATGTCCAATAGAGATACATAAACACTGACCACCATGCACGGCATCGAAAAGGAAGGAAACCGTGTCAAAGAGATTTTATACACTAAAAAACCAATGGACCAATCTAAATTTCACTGGGATGCTCACAAATACGAGATTTAACTATGCACATTTCCTCGAAATATGTAACGCCCTGAACTCTTTTTCATTATTATTGTTATTTTTAAATAAAAATGAGTTCAAGGTGCTACCAAAACTTTTCTCTATCTAATTTAAGCGGAAACATATCGAAAATATTCGATTTCAAATTATTAAACAACATAATAATATCGTGCATAAATATTAACGCAAAGATATTCTTTATATAAATTGATGATTGTCCTTTCTAGAAATTTTACTTGACGACCACATTAGCATCGCTCCGTCAATCTTCCACACGTCCTCACGACCCGTTCTTATCTGGAAATATTGTAAGAATGAGTATTTTGAAAACACTCAATAAGAATACGTGCACATCCTTTTTCATATGATATAAATATAAAAAAATAGCATAACATACCAACATTTCTTAGGAATTTCTTAAAAATCCCCATATCCCGTAGGATTTAATTTCTTTTCTTTGACCTGACGGTCTATCCCAAAGGATTTAACTTCTTCTTTTTGACCTAACGGTCTATCCCGAAGGATTTAACATAGCATTCGATCCGAAGGCCTTAAAGTATCTCATGCCAAAATTTACATATATATCAAGGAATAAGAATTTACCACTTGCACCATGTATTCTTACCTCAATTTGATATCCAAGAATTTACTTGAAAATGACTTTGTGAAAAGATATACTTTGCTCAAAATTCTAAAATTATAAAGAGGCGTGATGTATGTGTAATATAAATTGTGGTGGAAGAAATCATTTTCATCTCATATATATATAATTTCCACACACGTAACTTCCATAATGTGAAAAGTCATTTGAGGTTAATTGAAGATTAATGTAATTAAACCACCATGTTCATGAGTTAATGTAAAATCAATTAAAGTGTGTTACTATTACAAATTTTAAAGGGCACGTTCTAATTAATTAAAGTTAATATCATGGTTAAGGAGATAATTAAGTCTAAATAAATTCAATTATACTAACATATTCATTCCCTTCATTATGACCATATGACCGTACATATTTCTAGGAGAAAAATCATTTTACATTATACATTAAGAAAATATTAATAGATAACATATTTCGTTTTATTAGAATAACTCAGACATACTAGCTCAAAATTATTTTTTCTTAATTCCAAATTATACTATTTAACAAGAGTTATAAAATGAGTATAATGTCGATATATTTTTAATAATTTTTAAAATACTTAAATATTCGATCCAAATAAGTTACGATAAATTAAAAATATACGTTTACGGAATAAACCATTTATGCAAATAAGTGGGACGTGTTTATCACTTCAACTTTTCGACTTTAGTGTGACGACAATGTTGGACATGGATTATTTTATTTGTTAAATTACCAACCCACGTGGAAAAATTTAAAATTCGGAGTGTTACAAAATAAATATGTAATGTGCCTGAATTTCAAGCATAATTCAAAATTTATAATTATTTATATTTTTCTCTGTAAAAGAATCAACGTAATCTAAGAAAAGCTGTAACAATTTCACGTCTAATCCGTTTATATTTACTATAAGCAATTTTTTTATGCATGAAATATTTTTATTTTGAGTTACACACAATATAATGCACAAAAAATAGTCATCCTCATATTTAAATGACTTCACCTCTCGAATTTAAAAGCAAAGCATAATTAAATGAAAAATATGTTGGAAATTAAACTCAAACCTCTCTTTTTTTCTTTTAGTTGAGCCACGTTGATGTTGAATAAGTCCTTACAGATTATTAGGAATTTGTTTTTTCAGTTTATTGTTATGCCAATAAAGTAGGGCTTTAGTGGGTCAATTAGCTGCGTTTTTTGGGGGGATTTTGATTCAGTTTGTTGAGCTTGTAATTGGCTATAAATAGTTGACGTTTCTACTGTTTTCTTTTATCATCAGTTCATCAATAAGAAATCCTCTTCTTCTCTTTGCTTCTCTCTCTCTCTTTTTTTTCAGATCTTGTGTTGGGATTCTTGGGAGATTATTCTGTTTTCCAGCATTTGGTATCAGAGCCAGAAAAAATCCCAAGCCTTTTTTTTTTTATGTCGTTCTAGTTTGCTTGTAAGTAGGTTACAACTATGAACAGGTCAATCTAGCCTCAACTTCCAAGGTTTAGTGGCAAAAATTTTGATCAATGGTGTATCCAGATGAAGGCTTTGTTTGATTTTCAGGAGCTGATTGAGGTTATTGAAGATGGATATACAGAACGAGCTGATCAAGCTGATGTAGCAGCTGTTACTCAAGGTCAGAAGGACAGCTTGAGAGAGAACAGGAAGAAGGATAAAAAGGCTTTATTTCTCCTTTACCAATCTATAGATGATGTCATCTTTGAAAAGATCTCAAGTGCAACTACAGCTAAAGAGGCATGGGAGATGCTGCAAAATTCCTACAAAGGTGAAGAGTATAAGGTTGAAACCTTAAGAGCTGAATTCGAATCTCTTTCTATGAAAAATTCTGAAATTGTCTCTGATTATATTTCTCGACTTCAATCGGTTGCTAATCAATTGCGGGTTAATGGTGAAAAATTAGATGAATTGCGTGTTGTTGAAAAAATTGCAAGGTCCTTAACATGTCGTTTTGATTATGTGGTTACTGCAATTGAAGAAGGAAGGGGCTTTTCAACCATGACCGTTGAAGGGCTCCAGAGTTCATTGTGTTCTCATAACATAGAATGAATAACCAAGAAATAAATGTTGTGGAACAAGCTTTTCAAAGCAAGGTTAATTTGACTAGCTCAAGCAATTCCGATGGTAGTCCTAATGGTGGAAAAGGACTTAAAAGTACTACATACTCTGAGAAAAGAAATTCTGTCTAGCGCGCTTCTAGAAATAAAAGGTATGTCGATAAGTCCAAAATTCAATGCTTTCGTTGTAAGAAATATGGCCATTATCGATCAGATTGTAGAGTTAAATTGCATAAAAAAAACTTTTGAGCATGCTCATTATGCTGATGAGGTTCAGGAGAAATAAAACATGTTGTTAGCTTGCACTACTTGATGCGGACATCCATTTATTATTTATTTTCTATTTGGACTATTAGTTATATTTTATTTGGACTATTGTTTATGTTTTCGTTATTGGGTTTGTTTAGTGGGTTTGGCCCAAGCCCTTCTCTTTAGGGTTTGTGTTTTGTTATTTATTTCTGTTTTGTTTCTCATTTGAGACAGTTGATGATGAATTAGAATTAAAATATTTTTGGTGGCTTGCAGCCATTTTCTCCCTCCCCTCTCTTCCCCTGGTTTCTTCTCCTCTTCTCCCTTCTCTCTGTTTCTCTTCCCCGTTCCTTCTTCTTTCTTTCTTATTCATCCTACATCAAATTTGGTATCAGAGCCGAATCTTGGGTACTTTCTTTTACAATCCAAAATCTCTTCTTTTCTCCCAAATTTTGTTGGGACAGCACAAATTAAAAGGATTTTGATAAAGGAAGCAATTTTATTCCTCAATTTTCAGAGTTAGTTAAAAAAAAAAAAATAATAATAATAAATCGTGTTACAGTTAAAATAAAATAAAAAAAATCGTGTTACTGTTCACGGGTACTGTTCACACCCGGATTCCAAATTTTTTATTTTCATTCTGTAAAAAAAAAAAAAAAAAAAAAAAAAAAATATTCTGCTGTTCAATTTGATTGATTTGCTGCTTCCTTTTGCATTAAAGTTGCTGTTTCAAACCCTAGCTTATATTTTTTTCAATTCCATATATTCTAGCCCAACATATATTCCAGCCCAACACAATTTTCAGTCTGAACTCAGCCCATATTGAACACGGCCCAAACCCACGTAACCCACTCATTCGCAATCCATAGACTCGATCAAGCCCATATCCCTAACCCAATTACAGCAGCCCATTGATTCATTATTTCAACTCTATTTATACTCTAAGCCCATAAGACCCAATTACCATACAAACCAATTATCCAGCCCATACCCACATTAGCCCATTACACTAATCACCGGCCCAACTCACAATACCCAGCCCAACCCAACTCCTATCTCACTACCCAAATTAATTTTCCAACCCGAGCCCTAACTCATCCCGTCACTCCCCACAACCAGCAGTTCACCCCGTCAATACCCACGATGTCTAGTCGCCCGTTCCCTCCTACCCGTCACCGTCGCCGACTTGCACCCCAGTCGGACTTCACCACTTAGTTGGCCGACCATCAATCGGCCGGCCATTGCTCATTATCCCAGACGCCGGCCACTTCTCGCCATTTGTGAACTGCCATTGCTCATTATTTCCATAAGCCAGCGTCTACAGTTTCAGTCTACTACCAAGCAACCCATTCAGTGACACAGAGGTTTCTATTTCAGCATCTGTCCAATTTCAGTGAAGCCAACAATTTAGAATATGCAATGATCGTGAGTTCAGGAGCCGGAGACATTTGACACAGGCAGATCAGAGGCCCAATCGTTAGCAATTCAGGCAACTAGACTACAGGGAGTTGCTATCTCCTAATTCTCATTAGTTTATACTGCTGTTTTATTTTAAAAGTGCATCACTTAGATTCTTTGTGTTGCTGTTACTATCACAACTTTGGCCTCAAACTTCACTTGACTGGAATCATTCATTGAATTGACTTGCCATTGTTGCCCCATTTATCTCACTGAATTGATGTGCCATTGTTACCTCTTTTATCTACCTGATTGGAAATCTTGACAATACCATTTGATCTTAACAAGCATTGGACCCTTGCTTTATTATTTACAAGCATCAGCACTATTAACTTGCATTTTTGGAAGGGAAGAAAAGAGAGAGAGAGAATTTCAAATTGATGTTTTAATCGTTGGTCCTTGATGCATATTGGTCTCTCTATTGCATTTCATTTAGGTAGTATTGCTTTGCGTACAATTGCATAGAGGTCGTCCTGTCACTTTACTACTTTAAACATGAACCCCTCACAATTTGATGCACTCACCCGACAAATAGCGGCTATCCAAACTCAGGTGATTACTACTCTTGAAGAAAGTAAGGCTTTATCTGCTAATTTGAACAACTTTAAGAAAATCCCTCGTTCAACGGACTTTCATAAATCCAAAGTGTCCCATAATAGACATTTTCATCATCATCATGGTGATCAAAAATGCTTTAGACACGATCGTAGGTATAGGGATAAGATTCGTGAGCGAGAACGAGATAATTTTGAAATTCTTACTCAATGGAATGCCCTTAAACAAGGAAATCAATTAGTGACTGAGTATGTTGCGCAATTTGAGGAATTTCGAACCAAATGTCATTTAATTGAGGATGAGAGCGCGACTTTGAGTAGGTTTAGCCAAGGTCTGAGGGATGATCTTAAGCGCGAGCTTTTCCTTCGAGGTGTCACTACTCTTGATCATGCTTACTCTTTAGCTCGAGATTATGAGTTGATTATTAGTACTCCATATGAAAAGCATGGTCGTCTTCGTTCACCCATCTCATTAGCGTCGCCTCATCATAAGTCTATCATAAAACCTTCTCCGTCTAATGTTCCTCCTATTTGGAAAAATAATTGTAAAGGTCGTGATAGTCCAAGATCTTCTTCTCCATGTAGAAAGCATATTGACAATCATCCTTCGGTGTCATTGGCTCCACTTCCTCCCGTTAAGTCCCTTCTAGGACCTCCCCCATCTGATGTTTCTCCAATTTTGAAAAATAAGGATAAAATTTTTTATAATCATCATTTGGCTTCATTGGCCCCACCTCCTCCCGTTAAGTCCCTTCTAGGACCTTCCCCTTCTAATGGTTCTCCAATCTTGAAAAATCAGGGTAGAATTTCTAAAATTCCAAGGTCTTCTTCTCACTTGTTGTGCGTCAACTGTAAAGACTTTGGTCACATTTCTTCTAAATCTCCTAATCGAACCTTAGTCATGGAAGAACGAAAGAATGTAATAGAGGAGCCGTTAGAAGATCTAGTCTATGAACCTAAATTTGAAGATTTTGATGACTTAGATGATAGTAAGGACACTTCCTTAGGTGGAATCCAGACTCTTCCCGAGACTTGGGATACTATACCCCTTATTTCTGACAACTCTCGGTCACATGTTATATGTCATACCCTTGCACAACTCAAAGAGCTTGATGATTTCACTGGCCACCCTTGGAGAATCCAGTCGCCTGTGGTTAGCATTAAATCAACATTCTCCACTACTGACCAACTTCAAACTGATGTCAAAATGAAGTCGTTAACCAAAGTCCCGGCAATTTATTCAAGTCTCTAGTCCAGAAAAATCTTAGAAATTGGGACTTGATTCCCCCAACTGTTCAAATTGCGTATAACAATTCTGTAAATCGGTTTCTAGGTTTGAATCCATTTGAAGCTGTTCATAGTTATAAGTCGAGGCGGCCGTTAGACCTTATTTCCATGTCCCCACATGCTAGTGTGTCCATATCAGTTGAAGCATTTGTGCATCATCTTCATGACTTGCATATTAAGATCAATAAACAACTCCACACAAGTAATGCATTATATAAACTTCAAACTGATTTGCATAAACAATATTTTCAATTTCATATTGGGGATTATGTTATATTGCAAGCCGGTAGTGCTGATCCTTTTAAAGTTTTAAAGCATGTTGGTCCATACGCACGTCATTAATTTTTCATCACATTTTGGTCACCACTCTGCTTTACATATTGAAGACTTAGTTACTTACAGAGGCCTTTTTAATTTCCTTGAAGATCCTTTTCTACTTCCTTATGTGGATCCCCAACCTAAATATATTACCATTTTCACTCCAATAACACATGTCACAGCACACAAAGATGTAATTGATGCTATTTTAGATAAACAGGTTGTGTTAACCAATGAGGAAGATTTTGGAGATGAGTGGCATGAATTTTTACTATTGGGAGTTCAGTATCGGTGTGTGATTACAAAGAAAGATCGTCCTCCTTGGTTGGATCATATCCTTGATCCTAATTCTTTGGCCCCCTCTAACCCACTACCACCTCTCACAGCACACACAGATAAAATTGATGCTATTTTAGATGAAGAAACTGTGTTCACTAATGATGGAGAGGTTCAGCGCTTCCTTGTTCGTTGGGTTGGTCGACCAGATTCTGACTGTGCATGGATCTCCAGGGAGACACTACAGCATTTGGATCCAGATTTGCTAGAGTTTTATCGGAGTAAGCAGGATCTTCCGTGGCCCAGATCGCCTCCCGTCCACCCGAGGGGAGTTGATGACGACACCAGGTTCAGACCGCCATTGACGCATTTCTACAGACGCCGGAAGAAACTTGCCCAACCACTCAGCTTATGGTTGGGAGATTGACGAGAGTCTGCGGTGATATATCCACTCGACAGGGTCGAGTTTTCTCCCACCCCGGGAGAGTTGATGAGGACATCATTATAGTTGGACTTTTATTATTGTTTCAGTATTTTAGCTGGACTTTTATTATTGTTTCAGTTGGACTTTTATTTAAGTTTACGTATTTTAGTTAGGATTTAAATAATGGACTTGGCCCTATATTTCTAGGTTTTTATTATTTAAACCTATCTTGGTTTGTAATTTGGAACGATGAATTGATTGAGAATTATTGGTTTGGCTGCTGCCATCTCTTATCCCTTCTGCCGTATTTCTTCTTCTTCTTCCTTCTCCTATATCCCTTCTTGTTATCTTTATTGGAATTAATCACCCTACATCAATTCCTGACTTCACTACTAACATCTTTGTGTGCCCAGTCATCCTATCCTATTGCTATTTATAGATATTTTGTAACCACTTGCTGCCCTTTAACCGAATTTGTTACTGCTAGCTGCTTCTTAATTCTTCTTGATCCTTCTAGAATGAGTGAAGTTGATCGGTGGCCTAACACAATGTTAGGACTCAGAACTATGAGCATAAGAGCACTCCCTGGCCAGTGAAAACCACAAACTCACACATAAAACATACATTTCCAAATTGTTTCTCTGCAGTGTTAAATGTGCATGCTTTCAGGGTTCCATTTCTCCTATTTAGCCTGTGTGTTTTATGCAACAAATATGTGCCGAAAGGGTTTCATACTATAAAAAGGAAAAATGTGAAACAGTTGGTTTTATGTGCTCCTTCTTCACCAATCATTTCTGATGACTAAAGTAAGAAGATATATTATGCGAGTGGGATTACTATGTTTACTCCTGCAAAATATAAAATTCAAGAGTTTTTTACTATATACTTGAAGGTGCAAAATGCCATTTACTTTATTTGAGATGACTGCTTTTTTGATTATATTATGTTGCTTGAACATGTGTAATAACTTTAACTGAATGTGGGGTTGAACAATTATCTACCAGACCAGCACAAGTAGGAAGCGACGTAAAGTTGACACTGATTCTGCTAGTAATGAATCTGAGGATAACAATGATAATAGAGACAGAAATGCAAAGGATGTTGGGAGTAAGGGTTTTGAGTCGCATCAGGAAGACTTTCCTAAAGGTAAGCGAAAAGCTAGAAAGAGAAGGCGACTTGCTTTGCAAGGAAAAGGTATCGTTAGGAGACATCGGGCAGATGTTGTTAGTGATGATGAAAGTGAATCCTTCTCTAATACTAGTGAAGATAGTATGTCCAGCGAAGAAGAGAAACAGGGTCATGGGACATCTTTAGCTGAGAATGAGACTTCTGCTAGCTCTGACGAGGTCAGATAGAATCTCACTATTGTTAGCAGTTAGCACTGTGTAGCTAACATCCTAATCTTTTAGTTTAGCTTCTGTATGACTGGATAGGTTCCTTATGGTTAGCACCTTTTAACTTTTGTCATCCTTTAGTCAGGTGTATCTTCAGTGGACTTCTGTTGTCAGTGTAGCATATGTTAAAATACCACTTCATATTATTTTGTATGACTGGTTGATTGTAATATGAGAGATGGAAAGTTGTACTTTGATGTAAAAAATATAACTTTTTATTTACGCGCTAGGTTATTACGTCAGCTTCTAGAATTTCTCTCTATGTCTAAGCAGCTAACGGTGTAACTGAGTTCTTTGAGTTCACTATTTATACATTGTGGTTTATCTGAAGATTTGGAGACATAAATTTGCAATGCATTATGCATATTTAGGTTCAAGTTCCATTTATTGAAAATTATCTTCAGCCATGAATTGTTGTCACATTCAAGCATGCCTTGCTGATTGAGTTTAGATTTGAGGTTGAAGTTAGTTTTACTTGCAATAATATGTTCTAAATAAAGTGCAATCATCTAATTCCCAGCTGCTTCTCGCTTTGCGATTTGTGGTCCTGAAGTGGATTTTTTTCAGTATAATTGAATTTTTTCCATTTCTTGTCATACTGAATTACACATCCCTTCCATGATAAACATTTGAATATTTATGGTATGGGATTATAATTTTATATTTGTTGGTTAAGAACTTTATGGTTGTTCATTAGTAGAATGTTAAATAAACAAATAAGGAAAGTTAAGGCCGTAAGCGTCATCCTTTTATGTGGTGTGGTTGTGATTCACTAACTTTTGAAAGGGAGGCTTTTGGTTATGTTTTAAGTATGTGAATTAATTTGGGTTTTCATGTTGTGAAAACTGTCAATTTGAATGTTAAAATCGAATACGACCTTCAGTTGAACTGGAGAAAATTGTTAATTAAGTTTAACGCTTCGTCCTCCAATTTTAAGTAACGTGAATTTGCGTTCGTTGTCATTCACACTTACTGGTTTGGTCATATGAATATTCAAATCCAAGCATGAAGTATCTTTCTTGCATCCTAGAATTCACTCTTTAGATTTAGTCCTTGTTTGGTCTACATTTCTTGAACTCGTTTTTAATCATACGTTTAATGAGATTTACAAATTTTATCAACTTTTCAATAACATATTTCATCAACATTTAACCAAATTCTTAACATTGCAATGGTTACTTGGGTTAAAAACGAAAAAAAGAAAAAAAAGGAAACAATGCCATAAAAACACTTGTAATCTAGAATATAAATAAAACTATTTTGACAAAAAAAATGTTACTATCATTGACTTTCACTTTGAGCTTCTTGGTGTTAAAATTGTAAGTAGATAATAAGAGAGAAGAAAGACTAACCGAATCAGAAGTAATGGACAAGTGGCCGGAGGAAGAGCTGTCAGCCGTGGAAGAACCCTTCACCGGTAGGCGGTAGCTGAGAGCCACCGTCGCCGTTTGTGTTCGTAGTCACGGAGCCTGATACATTGAATTCGAGATCATATGCTGGGTCCCATCGGGTTTAAAACGGCCAAATTTCCGCTCATACGTCGGACCGGGCTTCATATTCTCATTGAACAAACACACAAACATTCAAATCTAGATCATGCCGTAAGTGTGCCCTTCTTCTCTGCAATCATCTTCAACATATTATCATAGCTCAGGCCCGAAACAGGGTCTAATACTCCTGAAGTGGACTCAGAACACGAAATCGATTCGAGGATGAAAGTCAATTTCTGAATTAGGCCTGAGAGGATAAGAAGTTTCGAGAACAGCCAAATTGTGGGCTGTGGTAACCATAACCTGCTTATCGAAGTTGAGATTGACAAAAGCAATGTGGATGCTTTTCAGGGCCGGGAGAAGGTTGGAGGAGAGAACGGAGATACTGTACGTGAGCACTTCCTTTCCGACCGCAATGCAAGCGATTTTTGTCTCAATTTGGCTAAATCCTCATCGGCAACGCCAACTATGAATTCGATTTCAATGCCACCGTTCTGCATCCAAGGGGACGACTGCCTCCGGGGAGGGGAGGAGAGGTTGGCGGCTACCTGGCCGTAAGTTGATGCATATAGAAGACCCCACTGCGATCCCACTTAGAAATAGCAGACACTGCGTTTTGTAACAGAAAATGAAAGATTAGAAAATGAATAGTTAACAGTAATATTAACAAAGAAAGTTGCACAGCTAATTCTTCGTTTGCTTTAAAATGTGAACATATATTTTGATTGGAAATTAACGTTTTCATACATGCAATCAAACAAGGGTGACAGAGTTCACATGTATCAGACATTAATTTGTTGGGGGTATCGGAAATGAAGATTTGTTCACGACCCTGTGTTAATTATTCCATCCTGTACAAGGTTGGTTGACAAATTTTTTGACAGATTGCCAATTGCATGGATGGATCTAGCGGGGGAGTGGTTTGTTGCCCCTCCCACGGTAAATTTAAAATTCAAGATTTTGCAATAAATTTTTCAAGATTTAAAAAAAATTTCTTATAATTTTCAAATTTTCTCCTACAATTAAAATTTTGTGAAATTTGCCCCCACAACACTACTTTCTTGGCTCCACCCCTGGCCAGCTGTCAAAAGATTTAATTGACCGTTGAACAAAAAATACACGGCAATCAGCCAATATAATATTGTCACCTGTACATCTGAAAAGCTTAATTCTTAATTATTAGTGTAAAGCACTTTCTTTCCTTTCCAATTCTATTGCTTCACACTGAAACATACCCTTTGTGCTTTTCCTACATTCCTCATTATTTACTCTTTAAATGTAAATGAAGCAACCATTGTTTAAGAAATCAATCGGCACAAGTATACATTGAATTTAAAATTTGTTAGTTACTAGTTTGTGGTTATCTATGGCTATCTCATCTTCTTTCTGGCACTTTCTCATCCTATCTGGCAGTGGTTGGGGTGGTGGAGTTGGCTTTGGAGGCCCGGAAAGCGACAACGGTGCCACCTATGGGGACGGCATTGGGTGCGAAGGGTGTGAATATTATAGCTTTCTACATTTGAAGACTTATAATGCGACATTATCAGATGTATTTCGCCTTGAATATTTACCATTTACTTACAGTCAGTGTTAAATCATCCGTAAAGTTCTTTTCCTTACCAACTGTCAAAATGATATTGGTTAAATTGTTCAACCGCTGTGAACATGGTTATGATCAAATGATTTACTTTTTTTTTTTTTTTTTTTTACTATAGTGTTAAAGAAACAAGGAAAAGTATCACTGTTCGTGTGTTTGATTACCAGAAATGACGAGGCAGACTACTTAGAAAAACGATTAATGTTTTGGATTACAACTCGAATTTAGGATTAAAAATCATGACTAGCTACAATTCACGCGCCGGGCTATTAGTTACTTGATAGTGGATTTGTATCATGTATGAAACATGGACACAATTTTCCTGAGGGTAAAATTACGATCAATAAATTCCTCTCATCTAGCCAAGATTTTTTCCCCCTTAAACTCGCTAGATCTGAAACTCAAATTGGAGCAAGAGGGAAAATGGCTATTTGAGAGGGAGATAGTTGAATTTTGCATGTTCTCCTTTTAGGCGGTAGTATTTGTGGATTTTCTTGAAAATGACAGGTGACAATCGTTTAGTGACGGATTGATAATTAATTCTGTTATGTATTCTCATATTATTCATTGGTTTATAAGTCATACTTTTCAAATTTACCCACGTGTGTTTAAATAACGATTTTTGCCGTAAAAAAGGGAATGGTTCGCCTTGTCTCTTTTGCCAGACTTCTATATATTATCTATCTTCGCACTCTTAGACTTCGCCTTGGGGTTTGAGTTCACAACATAGTTTTCTTGATTCTACATAAACAAATAGTCCTCAAAGTCCCATTTCATTATTCATATTAAATCTAGGACTTATTTGTAT